ATGTACATTAAGAAACACATTACAAACTAATAATAAAGAACAGAAAGTGTTTGACTCGACTTATTGCTCAATCCTGTGACATTAATGACATTACCATTTTTGCAGTGGTCACTACACAGTCTCGTATACAGATAAACAGTACACTAAAATATTTTCTAAAAAGGATTTTCAGCAAGAAATTAGTAAACACAGTAAACAGAAATCTTGGGATCCATATGCTTGATCAGCACGTGCTAGTTTTGAACAGGTTTAGATTGAGTTGGTGAGTTGAGTGCGACGGACTCACTGAGAATGACCTGAAATTTCACAAGGAGCCCTGCTCCTTAAAGCATACCTTGGCTTTGACGTCTTTTTAACTCTAAATTGGATCCATCATGTTACTAAATGAACATCAATGCTGTTATGGAGAGGAAGAACTGCAAACTAGAGGATTGAGACATTCAACTTCATTAAGGAAATTGTTTAGTAAGTCGATAAATCAAGTGAGAAAGTTAGGTTCATAGTTCTCCGTTAAGACTGCATACTAGCGATTTGTTGCAGCCAATGGAGCTGGCCCTCTGCTGGGCAATTTACACAGAGTGCAGGGGTTTAAGACTCTTGTGTTGGCTTCACTTCACAGGAACCAGAAGCTTTGTCCATTATATATACAGACGACCGGGGGCCAAGACTTCTAGTGGGCCATAAGTGATTATTAAGATGGATTATGTTTTCTATATATTGTAAAATTCTTCCTCTATCTGTTAAGGATAAACGTGCTATAACGTCCCTTTCACGCACAGACTCCCTTTGGAGCGTTATAAGGAATGGTCAGCAACGGACGGGAGAACTGTAAGCATCACGGCTGTTCTTCGAATATTCCATATTGTTCAAACTATTGCTGTTCACTGTGTATTCATAACCTGCCTCTTTCTGTCCTTCTCATTGGAGGAATATTGGCCGCTGGCTGAATACTCTGGAGGTGGAAAGCTGTGACCATACAAACTGAGTGAAACCCTGTGAGAAAGAACTGGGAAAGTCCGGGTGTTCTGCACTTTCCCATTCCATCAGGGCCACATCACAATTTCTCTACAACCCACACACCCCCGTTCTTTGTCTACATCATGCTGATGATTGAGATTCCGGTTAAGGCAATAAAAAAAATTGTGTTTTTTCCAATTAATTTATTTAGGAATTCCTTGCAAATAAGTGATAATTTTGGCACAGTAATTATGGAAAAACAGAGCAGTGGTCAGTTAGTCAAGTTAAAAGACAACCACATTTTGAAGGGTGGTTTAAAAGAAAAAAGCTTAGGCTAACTAGCTAGCTCTACACCAATCCTATAGCTAGTATATATCTGATAGCTGAATGTTAGCAAAATTACTGGGCAAAGTGAGTCACTAAGGCTTGATGTATTATTAGTTAGCTAATAGCTAATGTTTTGCTAAGCATTTAGCAATTTTAAGATGTGTTATATATACAATGTCACTTTTAATTTCATTTTCAAAATGGTTGGTTTTGTATTTTAACATAGACGAGGCCCAACAGCATTAGCATATCTGAGTACAGGAGAGGGAGGAAGCTGACATAGGCTTGCTCAGCTGTCACTGGAGCACAGAGGGAAAAAAGGGACAGGACTTAAAAAGGGTGTCAATTGAGTACCAAATTGTATTTCTTCTAGGGAGAAACTAAAACTAAAATTAAAAACACAGAATATGATGATCATATATAATATGGATGTAATTTTGGAGATTGGGAACAGATGAACAGATTCAGAACTAAACAAACCCAATATCGTCTCTCCATATACATACCACCTATTTATCAAGTGGGAGTAAAATGAGATGCCAACTGAACAGCTGAAAAGCTCTGCCTTTCACCAACAGGAACTGGATTCGTTCCGGTTTGAACCGTTTGGAGTATTTCGGACCAAAACTAAAATTGGCTTCAGAACCTGGAAAAGTTGGTTCCCAGCTGGAACAAAAAATAACAGGTTTTCCTAGGAACCAAAAATGGGCGTTCATCATACTACAGTTCGTTGTGCATTGTGCAGGCCATTTGTTGATGATGCATCTGATATTACTCAAAAAAAAAAATAACTCTTTGAATGAACTTAATTAAATCATGGAAGTATTTCCACAGAATTAAATTATTTTCTTACAGCAATAAGGCAATTATGTGGTCCAACTTGATTTTAATTGTGTTTGATTTAACTTACTCACTTGGTTTGGTTCTGACTTTGATTTAATATGGGTGGTCCAACTAATTTTGCAGTTGTAACATTACACTACTAAATTAAGTTGCCCAACAGAATTGCTTAATTAGAAAGAGCATTTAATCACACACATGCATTCCACGAATAAAATGGATGTAATTTTAAGTTAGTTAATTTATTACTAACATAATTCTAATTTGCCTAATCAAACACATGACCAGGTTGTTTTCTACTCGATACATGGCTGGTTCACTAGAATAGTGGACGCTATGCTATTTTGTTTATTATTGCACTTGACAAGGTAGGTATAAAGTAGTGGAAAGAGAAAGCATCAACTGTCTGTGATCTCCCTCAACGCAAGAGTGGTTTAAAAAATACTCCAGTAGTTATAATAATATATTTTTTGCCTGTCTGATCCAGGCAGATTGATTTATTACATGAGATACAAAACATAGTGAGTTAATGAAAGGATTTTTGCATATGAATTCCATTGATCATCCATTCATCAAATCTCCCTACATAGTACAACTCGGAAAGGTCGGAGAAAAAAAAAAGTTTATGTTTGTAATTTTTGAGTAGCTGATATTTGCAGATCCTTTTTGTAATTCCAAGCGCTGATTCTAACCTGGTGTGATCTAACGTCAATGTTCTCTCTGCTGAGGAGAATGTGCCTTCACTTTCACATGTTGGAAGGAACTCTTGTTTCTCATCCAGGATAAGGTAACATTTACCTTGCCAGTAACGTTTTAGCACTGTAACAGCAACAATGTTACCATTGCATGGATAGTGTCAACGGTATTTACCGACATATATATGTTTGAGTGTTTGTTTATTATCACACATGGGAAACATGTCTGTCCCCGCATTTTTACCACTTTAGTTTTGTATTTAAATAGAAATTCTGAATAAAGAAGAAATTGAAATTACATTTTTGAGTCAATCTTTGCACCTGATATTGGGAAATTATCTTTGATGCAAGAAAAAAAGCCTAGAAAATGCTTGCTAATGTGTTTTCAGTTTTTACACACACATATTTGTTTGTCAGATATGGAGACATTACATAAACTTACTATATTCATTATTTGGAGACATACCTAACCCCAGCCCTACCCCTAACCATAACCATAACCATAACTATTAGTTAATTTGTAATTACTATTAATACCTGGAGGGAAATCCAGGTATCGTAGCAGAAACAACAAAAGGAGAATGAAATACAGGAGGGGTATAGGTATGAGTACAGAATCCAAACAGGATAATAAGAATAAATATAAATAAAATCAATAAGACCAAAAACGTCATCCTATATATGTACATATATTATATATAAATACATACATGCATGCATTACATATACACACACACACATAAAAACCAGCTACTAATATTGATTGCACCATGATTTCTTGAGGAATAACTAAATAAGTTTGGATGTAAATTCACTAAGACAAGTGGCCAATCAACAATTAAAGGTAGAGTTCCATTGTCATGGTAACCATGCCCATTAGCTTTATGGTATGAACCACTTGGCATTATAGCACATTGTAGTAAGATCAATATTAAAATATATCAATGAATTAGATCTCTACTTGCAAAATGTTCCACATAGCACATTATTTATCATCTAAAAAACGTGGGTGTAAAAAACCTGGTGGTAGCCTTTTGTTTTATCGTCATAATTAAAACCCCAGAGATACTTTAAACTTCTTTTTTAGGGGGATCATTATTACATCTCAGGGTAATTTTTCTTTATAGCTACTGTTGTTAGAATAGTGAATGTGAATAAATAAACAAAATGATGTGCTGTCTTTGTATATTTAGGTTATGAATATTTCATGATTAAAATGCTTTGGAAAGCAATTTCACTAACCATAACCCTAGTGTTAAAACTATTCTGTAAGATGAGTTATTTTAACTCATTTAAAACTAATTTTGTTATTCACTGAAATGTACTTCACTTCAAGGTAATTAGTGGAATATTTAAAATAAAAACTCAAAAAAAGACCCTGGTGTTTTTCTCTAAGGCCATCCCTGCAGGGAATTGCATATCCCTGCATCACAGTACAAACTTTTCCAGAAGCCCCTTTTAATTGGTTGAAAGTGCATCTTGCACAATCGCATCAAAGACTTCCTGCCAAGCCTTGGTACATTTTGCACACCCTCCTCCATGAAATGATGTCTTAAAGGAAAAAATATGAGCTCTTTCTTTCTTCTTTAAAGTGGGTAAAGAGAAAGGGGATGACACACAGCAAAGGGCCACAGGTCAGAGTCGAACCCCTGGCTGCTGGAGCAAGGACTCAGCCTTACATGGGGCTCCAGCGCTACCTGGTGAGCCTATAAGGTTATGGTATGTCCATTATAAGGGGTAAGGGTAAGCAACTTTCTGAGTGGAAACCCATAACCCAAATTACGGGACACACACACTGATGACTGGTTACCCTAAACCACATACATATAGTGGACAGAAAACAATGTTCAATTTAATTTAATATAATCAATATATTTAATTAACATGCTTATTTGATGTGATGTGACCCTTTTTTTGTAATCTATTTAGATTCCTTCTTTTTAAAGTTAGTATTACGATTATTATTATTTAATATTAAATGAATATAATTATTAATTTCTCTTTTTTAGGGATGTGCTGTATGGTATTATTTAAGAAAATGATTTTACTTCACCTGTCTTGATATTATCCCCAATGTCCTATTGAAGTTTAAGTTTTATTTTGAAATGTTCATCTGGATACACTTGGGCAACACTATTTTGAAAATTCTTACCGGAAATGCCTCCGTTGTCCACTGCCTGACTTGACGCAGCGAGCGTCTCGTACGACTGGTGTGAATTTGGAAAGTTTGCATCGTGGAATCAGGAAGTCCAGTGAAGCTTCCCAGTCCCGGCAGTGCGGAGGACCTCAGAGCTGTTAAAGCCCGTCGTGATGCTCGCTGGGGCCCCCAGCCGTGAGGTGAGTCGGCCGGTAACAACTCTTGTGGCGCAATACTTGATAATGTGTGCTGTTTCTGCCGCAACTGTGGGCGCAACAAGTGCTCACCTTGTGGTTCGTTAGTTCTGCGACGTGACGTCACCCGAGAAAAACAAACCAATGCGTGTTTATAAATCTGCACATTTAGTAAATGACATAAATTGGTTAATTGTAAATAACTCACGCTGTGAATACTTTTTATATCGGCCCAATTATAATCCAGAGAGAGGCACTGATTGAGAAAACATCCAAACTGCTGCATGGCACAGCAACACACACCATTCTGCTGGTAAAGTGAGATAAAGCTATGTAAAATCCGAATTCAACATAAAAACGGAATTCTCTGCATCCAAAGTTTTCTGCATTGACTAACACAAGGGCGTAACGTTGGTTTGAGTGGTGGTGGTGGGGGGGGGGCAGTATAACGGGTCTATGATCTTTGCTCCATTATTGTGACGCTACTGATGGATAAGATAATGTGTACATGCATAAAATGTATCAAGGAATATGAAAGTTTTTCTCCTGAAGCCACACACTGTCAATAAATGTGTTATGCTTTTTTAGTCTTAGTGTGTATTTCTTTATTATGAGTACTGGTTGTAGGCCAACATGAGATTAGATAAGCTTTGGTTGGACTCGTCAGTGTGACCCTGCTGCTGTTCACATTTAATTTTTATGAACTGCCATTCAGTGAGCACATTTTTAAGTGAGCATGCGTGGAACTCCTACGCCTCCACTTTTTCCCGCCCCCACTTAAGGAACTCTGACTCAGATTGACTAGTACTTGATGCCTGCCTTGGTTATGTTCTGTCGCCAGTGGAAATAAGGCCTCAGTGCTAACACCAGCACTGAGTGGAGTGTATGGCGCTGATCTGATGACACTGGGCGAGGGGGGTACACCCTGGTAGGGATGTGCAAATACAGTTTTAGTGGGTCCGTTTTTTTAAAAAAGGACACCCCCACATCCACTGTTTTGTCATGCTTCCCTGCTAATGTTGGCACACTAGGCTATAAAAAATGTGTATGCCCAAAAACTCACACACACAAATGATGAAACACAGATGGAGATGTATGTTTTAAAGAGATAACTAACACATCTTTCTTTGCAGATGATTCCAATTATTTGCCATAAAGTGAAAATCTTTCCGTTGGGAACCATGTCTTGGAAGATTTTGATGGCCTCCTCTTTTATAATGGGGATGTCCATTTTGATGGCAAGAATATGTAGATCAGAGTGTTTCTTCCAGTCCGCAAGGTCCAGAGTCCAGGTCCAAATCTGTAGAACACCCAGAGTATGAGCAGTATTCTGTGCTTGGACATCTGCCTGGGGGTCTGTTGCAGATTTTGAGCATTACTTTAGTCACTCTCTGTCTCAGTCTGATTGGTGACATTTTGCTTCTTTCTTTCTTTCTTTCTTTCTTTCCCATAACAACAGTGTAAGCAGCTTCCAAGTCTTCCCACACAGGTTGGCTGTCCCATCATAACCCTGGCCACAGAGGTCTTCTCCGTTCAGATGGTTTTCCTTCAGTGCAGTCATCACTAAGTGTACAGTCTGTTGTTGCCTTTACATTACACAGCTGGATACAGTGCTCCTTTATGGCCATGTCACACACATAACTGACAACAGGGGATGCCTGTTCAATGCGTGACACATCAGTGGTCTCAACAAGCAAACGTCTTTCTGTATAACCCGTTAGTAGTTAGTAGCCAGAGCTTTTATCAAATCATTTTGAGTTCCATTGGAAAGGAGAATGTGTGAAGCTTGCTTTTCCTTGATTGGATAAAAATGATATGCTGTCATATTGGTTTAGCAATTCCACCAGCTCTAGGAAGCTGTTCGAACTTGAGAGATTGAGTCTCTCAGTTCTTTTGCCTTTCTCTGTCTTTGGAAGTTTGCATGTCATGGTCAGGCTTTTCAGAGGCCGTGTCCACTACCTTTCTTTTACATTCCACCTGATCATGTTTAGCATGTGTGACTGACTACTGCAGTGGTCCTTGAGTTTGTGTGACCCCACAGGTTTACCTTCCCAGATTTCCATCCAGTCCTGCTCTTATACTTTTTAAGTATAGTCAACAGCTGAAGCAGTATATGGCCTCACTGTCAGAACAATGTTCTAACCGGGGCTGCAGCGAGGGGCTGAAAGTAATGGTTTGGGTTTTTGGGGATTTGGAAATTGAATTGTGTTTGATTTTTTAATTTTTGGGATGGCCCCTATCTGTTGGATTTGGAAACTGAATGAAATGATTAAACTACTGTTATTAAAAATACCTTTTCAGTTCAGTTATATACATTTAAATATAAATTTCATACAGGAAACGAAGTAAAAGGAAACAAAGATTCTATTATGTTGCATTAGGGGAAGTGTAGGGTATTGACTCTGGGGACTTCTCTGTTTTTATTAGTCTCCTGTTGTTTCCACATTATTTATGGAAGTGCGATACTGAATCACTCTGATGTTGTCTCACAATGAATACCATTTTCTGTGAGGTTTGTTTAAAAATAGTTCAGTTAGTATGTACAGTACAGTGCGATAGATAGATAGATAGATAGATAGATAGATAGATACTTTATTTATCCCGAGGGAAATTCAAGAACTCAGTTTCAGTACTACTGACGGACAGAAAAAGAAACACCTGTGCAATCAGAAGCAATCTAACAGGAGGTTGTCATTTCAAAACTTTAGTAAAAATTGATCCAGGAGAAAAATAACAATGTTTTGGTGCAAATTCAGGACGTTTTCAACTTTATCATGTTGATTTATTGTTCTGGAGCAATTTTGAACATGTGTTTCATAAATGGCCACCATATCAACCTTGTTGGAAGCACTGTATGCGCACTCACAGTGTGTGATGGTGTTTTATTAGAATGCATTGTTTTCAAAGGCATTTCTTATATATTTGGTATTTCTGTATACAGGGGAAACTATTTTGAAACCTTTTATCCATGCATATAGCATTATCTAAAATTAAGTTTTTGGCTCATGGCAGGTAAACAGAGCAAATTTACCAGCCCAAAATACTTTACTGCCCACAAAACTGCATTATTCATTATTTGACTAAAATTAATTACATTCAGCCAGGTTGAGGGTTGGTGCGATATATGATAAATGGAAATCAGGCATTAAAATATCAGGCAGCTAAATCTCATTTCTCCATATTTTGTTTTGAACATCCAGAAGTTATTGTAAGTAGTATGCTGCTGGCTTTGAGAAGAGTCCAACTGTCGTCCTCCCTCCTGAACCTTTAGCCAATGGGGTTTGAGCATGAGTAGCAGAGTTCAGTATGGAGTACGCTATGTAAACTTCAATTTATTTCACCTTGGCAGTCAAATCTGTTTCTGAACACATTTTTGGCGAGAAATAAGCAGTCTATCTAATGAAACTTAAGTTATTGCATGTGCAATAAAAAACACTCAGGATTTCCATTATCGTGATAATCGGCATTATTTGGGCCAAAATAATTGTGACATGAAATTTTTATATAATCCCATGCCTAGCCAGTATGCTGGGCCTCTCACTAAAACGCTGACCTTCATAACTTTTCTAACTTGTGTCCCCATATCTCTAATAACGTAATGCAGATGTTTCGTATGCCAAAAACAGGGCTGCATGATTAATGGATGTATTATCAAAACTACAATACCACTTTTTTCAGACCAAATAGAAGTACTAACATTTTGATACAGAGTACTTAACAATACCATTAAATGTGCTAATGTTGTTGTAAAAGTTGCTTAAAATTGCTTAAAATATCTCCAAAATGCTGACACTACTTCTCCTCTGCCTACCTGCTCAACTAACAAGAAGTTACATAACGTAATTCTGCCATAAAGTGGTATCGGAGTAGTTTTATGATTACAGTTAATTATGAGTATGTGAGCTCATTATTAGAGCCAATACCTGATACTGGTACCAGTTCATCCTTTATCTAAATCGCAATGCCTTTTGACAAAGGTAAAAGGACTGTAGTTCTGAAGCCTGAAAGCCTACAATTCTTTCAGTTCTCCAGATGTAAGAAAACATGTTAGGTACAGACCCCAACAATTTCAACATCATCAGCATTAATAGATTTCTCAGTGAAGGTAAAATTGTGTTGGAAATGAGCATTCCCACTAAATCAAATAATCAAATTATATTGCAATATCTGTCAAAATAATGGTTTTCCACCATAGGACATAAACAAACAGAGACAGACAGAGACAGGCGGCACTGTGTAGAAAGCACCAAATTGTAGTAGATTGCTTGGATCTGATTCGCTGACCTGAGGGTCTCAGCCACTACATGTAAAAAACACAGCAATGTAAATTTGGCCCTATGCTGTGATTCCACATGATATACTGGCCACCTGGCTGGTGAACCCAATTCATTTTTCCGCCAAACCCAAAATGTACCCACATTAGGTGTGGCTGGTGTCAGTCCGCTCCCTGTATATAGCAGTTAGACAAAACCAGCACAGCTCCTCACTCTTTCAAAAATAAAAATAGTCAATAATCTTAAATAAACAAATATTGAACCATTTGGGCTGTACAGCTGAATTGTGTCTATTTGAATGTTGTTTTGTATGTCTCCAGAGAACTGTCTAAATCACTGCTGCTTTGTCTTTGTGCAGGGTGACAGCTGAACCCAGGCCTCCTCTCTGTGGAGGAACTCTGCTCTGATAGTGATTAACCAGTGGCTCCAGTAGGAATGTCCTACTGGTCTGTTGGCCTTCCCCAGGACTCTAAAGACACTCCCAGCAACATGGAGCAACAAATCGGTGAGTAACCTTGCTGCGTCTCATCAACCCGCTCTGACGCCACTCCACACGGCCCTGTTTTCTCGCTGTAGCGTTCGAGGCATCCGGCAGGTTCAAACTGAAATGTACTGATGTGTGGAGCACTGCAGTGCTGCTTAAATTTAGCAAAAAGAGAACTGAAACCATGATTGTTTGACAGCCACAAGCCCTTTTCTGTCGCTGTCTAACTGTATGTATGAACCACACTCTGAAAGTTTCAGCCTCATGTAACTCACACAAGATTTGAATAGCTTCTCTATCAGCAGATTGTAGTTCAGCTGTGTGGTAAATAATTACAGGTATAGACGATGAATAGATGAATGGGGATTACAGTTGGAGATGGAAGAGTGTGGTGGAGTATGGTAGATTAGGTTATGGTAGGTGGCCATTCATCTTCCTTTCCTAGCAACAAGGAAGCTGTTGTGATTTGCTGTTATATTTTATCTTTTAACTTCCTGACTACGTCACAAATGGAGATATATCTTCCTGTGCTGGTTGACTTCTGCTTGTGACCATCTTGTCCCTGCATTCTAATATATATTTGACACAGTAAAAATTCACAGTCTAACATTCAGTGTTAAAGACTGTCAGAGCTGGAAGAAAGTGAGACTTTCTCTTCTACGGCAGAGTACAGAGTTAATGTTACAAAAAACGTACCGTCCTCCATCATGGACCCCAACAAAGCCATGGCCGAGTCGAAGCCCTCCCTCCCTCCCTGAGGTATATACAATTTCAGCCCTCCCCTAATGAAATGGGAATTTATAGACCAAAACAGTTTTTTGTACCAGGCTGTAAACATGCTGTAAATTTGGGCATTTTAACATTGGAGCTAATGGATATTGACTCACTTTTGAAGCCAGCCTCAAGTGGCTGTTAGAAGAACTGTAGTTTAGCAACAAAAACCAAAGAAGAAGAAAATAATTTACTGGTGGTGGCTTCTCCAGACTCTTAAATTCAATGCTTCTTGGTTTTATGTTACAGTTAACTGATTATCTTTGGGTTTCTTACTGTTGGTTGGACAAAACAAGACATTTGATGACGTCACCTTGGACAAATTGGGATGGGAATTTCTATAAACCAGATGATCAATCTAATAAAGGTTCCACTGGGCAGTGTGAGATTACAGTGAGAAGGAGAGACAGACAGGAAGCATGAAGGAGAGACAGACAGGAAGCTCAGAGGCTGGCCAGGCTCTTAAACAAAGGAGCATCATTCCCTGCTCCATCTCCCCGCTACCCCCACCCCCTCCTCCTGTCCCTCTACCTCTCTTCCATCCTCCCTCTCTCCTCAGCCTGTCACTGGGTTAGAGAGGAGGGAGATCATCCAGGGAACACAGCTAGGATGGCTGTGGATGCTGGGTAGAAGCCACACAGCAGCTGAAGGGAAGCTATGAAAAGAAAGTGAGCGTTAGATGTGATGGAGGCAGGAGGAAGAGGAGGATTCGCTGCCTCGCTATGAGCAGGTTAGTAGGAGAGAGGAGGAGGGGGGGCAGAGCTAAACGCTGACTGGAGCCTTGTTTATATGCTGCACATGTAGGTCTGACTGAGCCTTAAAGCTACTCTGCACTGAGCTCTGACTCTGCTCGGATCAGCCTGTGTGGTCTGCAGATCCATGCGATGTATGTGATGACTTCTATACTGTAGGGCTCCACACAGCAGTGGTTGTTTATGGGAATCAACTAACTATGATGTCACACTCTGAATACATTTTACTCAAGTGTGTGTGGATGTATTACACTGGTTTTATTGGAGGATTTTAGTAGGACATGGTCTTCAGATGCTTCTCAACACCTTACAGGATGATTTCAAAGAGAAATTACAGATTTGTACACTGACCAGGCTAGAAGCACCACTGCTGGGAATTGAACCCGTGGTTTTTGCTCAAACGGATCATATTGCTTTTTCAACATAAATGAAATTACGCCATCCGCCCACCATAACACTGTGAGCACGAAATAATAGGGAACAGTTACAGCTGCGTATGCACAACTTTGAACATGCAGCTGCAGGCAACATTTTATCCCATTAGCAGCCTGTATCATGTTTCAGCAGCTATCCACCTTCTGAAATCTCTGTCTTTGCTGTCTTTGTGAGTGTGTCTTGAATACTTACATGCCGTATGTTGAAAAGAGATTGATCTTGGTATGGCTAAAACATGCTTCTCTGGGCTGTAAGCAAATGTGCACAGCGATTATTCAGGGATAATTGTGTAGCTTTTTCTCTTTAAATCTTTTTATCATGCTTTCTTCTCATATGTTAACCCACCTACCCACCTCTTGACAGGAGTGGGATCAACCAATCAGCTTGTTTGACTTTTAGGTCTGCACGATTCATTGTTGAGAAGTGAGTTACCCATAATATTTTTCCTGCCCCCTACTGCTGCTGCCTACCTCTTGTCTACACTAAGAACAATAAAGATGGCAGTGGCACTGACACACTTTAAGATTTCAGTTATGTCAATTTGGCAACATAAGCGACTACCGGTGCTAACAGTAAATGCTCCATGAGCAGCCATGTCGTTGTTTTAATAAAGCAGTGAATGAATTGTCTTATTCCATCATGCCAAGAGTAATCTGATTTGCTGAAGAAGTGAAGGTGTGCAGCCTGTAACTTCCTGCTCTTCATCTAACAGCTACCTATGGCTGCTCCATCATGTTAGTGACAAATTACTAAAATGTTGTCTTATTTTGTAGGTGCCCTTCAACATTTATTTACACACATAATTTATGTAAAACAAACACCATCCGTTAACAGAACTACATAGTGTAAGATCCTTTCTTAACTGCAGTGTTGCATAAAAGAGGAAGCCTGTGGTGTGCTTGTCTGTGGGACATCAGGATCACTGGGTCACCGGACACAAATATGAAGCTGTTGAAAGTCACAAAGAGCATTTGGTATCTGTGACAACCTTTTGACTATGAAATAAGCATAATATGCCTCAGGTACACCTTACAGATACAGATAATAATTTGTTATGATGATCGGCAATACTCTCCTCATCACTAGAATTCAGCCATTAAATTGAGCAGTGACTTTTATTCACCTCTATAGATAGGAAAACATAATCTTTCAGTTCACCAGGATAGTTTTAATAATATTTACATTTTCTGCTGCTGCTACTACTCTACTACTTTTATTTAAAAGCTACAGTTAGTAGTTACTTTACCTGATTAATATTTTAAATAAAACACAAATGCATATCAAATGCAATGCATTCTTAAGATTAAACCAGTGGGGTCCAACCTTTGGCTAGTGGTATCTTACAAGAAAGGTGTCTGATTGTGGGCCCTTTTTTTCACATTTCAGATGGCTGAGTTCTTTGTAGTTCTTCCAAACAGACATTTCCCCTTCTAAACCACTGAGATGGTTTCATTTAACTTACTGTTAAAGTACCCTAGAGAGGTAAAATTGTTACATTTTTCACAAAATGCAAAGCTTTGTGAAGAGCCCAAAGATTACTACAGCATTTTGTAGCATACTTTACTGCCCTGTTAATATTTGAGTGTGACAGCTGATTTAGTTTGGCTTGTAAATGATGTTGCCACCAATGTAGGTTTTGCCTGTTAGGATTGAACCATCCACAGTGGATCTAAAGCTGTTTCCTTCTTGTGGTGCTGCACTGACATAGGGAAAGTGAAACAGTTGAGTGTTTGGAGTCTAGAGGATCAAGGTGGAAATTCCCTTGAAAAAAAAACCTGAACCTAGTGGCACAGGTTCAGGTTTTTGCACAGGCACTACTGCAGCTTACTCCTGGCTGTGCATGCATGTACCATTCGACCTCTGCAGCTCCCAGAATGCAGCAGTCCAGCTTGTCTTCAATGTACCCAAGTTCTCCCACACAACATCACTTGTGCACTGGCCACCAGTGGTTTGCTTGACTTTGATTCAAGATACTGGTGCTTGCCTAACATGCTGCAAATGACCCATCCTACATCCAGGAAATGGTCAAACCCTACTCCATCCACTACGCTCTGCTACATTGACATTGTGAGCACCCGGGCACCCTGGTGGTCATAATGTTCCTGCAGGCCCCATACAACCAAACTGTGCCTGCACTGTGTGTTCTGAAGCCTGTCCATCCAGAAGCAGCATCTAACCTGTTTTCAGCAGTTTGAATCTTTTTATCCGGCGATTAATGCAATAATATCGATGATAACGTCCCTATCTGTGCTATTAAGGATAATGTGTTTTCATCTGGGTGATGCCACCGAAAGTGTAGCATGTTTTGATGTTTCCATTCACGATACCTGACAGGGGTGGAGCCAATGCTGACACGCCATGCTTGTCTAATAAACCAAGTAACAACTCCTATCTATTGGCTGCTGGAGCTGCCCGCAGGAACCGAATTGTGAAAACAACTGATTTAAAGGATGCAGGCAGGTCCAACTGCAGTATTTCATTTGTACTTGCTATAGCGTGACTGACTCACACTCGAAGTTTTTCGGGTTTTTTTGGTTACGCATTACAGGCATCAATCTACATACCCTATAGTCTTCATGCGGCTGCGTGCACCACACCGTGACTCCTGTTCTGTAACGGTTTGGCACAAATACACAAACCGTTAGATTTGGGGAAAAGAGCAGTAGTATCAGATTGTTACTTTGTATCAGCAGATACTTCAGCATATCAGAACTCAGGGGAGAAAAAGTTTGATTGGTGCTAGATGGTACATTGGTCTTCCACCGGAGGATTTGTTTTTTGGCTTTATGTAACATAATCATTTAATTCCCACTATATGAACAGCTGATCCACAGCTTCTTCTCATTTGTCTCCTCCTCTTTCCTCAGCTCCTGTCTAATCACATCACCCTGATGTGTAGTCTCCACTATTGTTTGTTCACGTAGCCAATGTCAGGAGTGTATGTTTCCTTTGATCTCCAAAGCAGATGGACCAGTGAAAAGGGGAATTCAGTAACGGAGGAGATGTTGATCGCCTCATCCCTCTCAAGGTCTTCTTCTAGCTTTCCCAGATATGCCGTTTAAGGCTGTGATAGGGGAGTATTGATGGTAGATAAGAGGCACATCAGGGTCTAATGGCTCAACTCCCTCAAGCTTTCTCATATAGCCTTGGAAGCCCAGTCAGACTCTCTCTGTATTAATTATTCAGAGAAAAGCCACTGGGCTTCAGGAAGCGGGCACATGCAGCTCAGACGCACATGAAAGAGGAAACAGAAGTGTTGGCTGGTGAAATGAATAACCACTCTGACAAACTAAATAAATAACTTGCTCTGTCAGACTTGTTAGGGCAGTTTTTGATACATTTTGCGCTTGAGTTCTGAGCAGAGGTTTTCATCTTATTTCCCAAGAAATGTATGTATGGTATGTTGTACAAAAACAGCCCTGAAAAAGAAACAGCAGGCAACTAGCAATTACCGACTGCTAGTTGTAAATGAACAGGCTTATTCTGTGCCACATCGTTCACACCTTTTACAGTTGAAAGCCAAGATACACTTTCTGTGGTTGATCTCCTTTTTGCACAGGACTAATATTACCTGAGGAAGCGCAGTGATGCCTGACACCATCATCTGCCTGCACTGTTTATAGCACACAGTGTCAGAGCTGTACATGTGATCAGTGAGGAAGACCCCTGTCCAGTCAGTGCAGGCCCTGACATGCCACACCGTCATATAGTGCTGGGTAATTTGAGGACAGCTTAACAACACGTAACTGCTGTGCAGCATTTTGGTGTCATGGATGTATTACTAGAAACTGGCTTTCGTATTTCATCCAACCAGTGCCTTGAACATCATGCCACCAACACAATCCCTTGCATTCTTGATTGCACTGCTGATTTTGTTCTGAACCTGGTTAAGGTGCTTGTTTTTGTTATGTGACTATCCTTAATATTATTTTTTATAATATTATGGATTATTGAAAATATGATATTATTAAGACATTTGTGCAATATACTGTACATTTGTATTAGTGAATATTAATCAGGCAGATTTTCTGGTATTTTGAGATACCTGCATCGGCCAATGTCTGTGCTCATAAAGCCGACAAAAGATTTCTTCAGGCACTTCTGCAGGCAGCCTTGTCAGTGTGGCTGCTGTGGAGCGATGTTAGTGCTCGCTTTGAGTTTTGGCCAGGTGAAAAAGTTGGTTTTCATGCCCTATACTATAACTCTAATGCAGTGGTTCCCAACCTTTTTCTTTAAGGGACCCCTTTTTCTATCAGTAAACTTACTGACTCCTAACTTAGTGACATATTTTATGTATTTTTCATATATTCAACACATACAAAACAACTAATAAACGGTACAATGAACCCAAATAGTGAACACAATAACTGTAGTAACATTTATGTAAAATTAAATTCATTAATTAAAAATTCCTGTGAATACTGTTTTTCTGACATTTTTAGGACATACTTGCATACAGGCTTCGTTTTTTGACAAATTCACTGTTTTCTTTTCCCTGATATTTGGCCATTGTTCTCCTGCAGGATGCCTCAGCAGTGAGTAAAAGCTCTGTGAATATAGCTTGTGTTTATGTCTTGTCTTATTTTTAAAGTTTAAATTATTACTTAAGATAGAAACTTTCTGTGCTGGGAACCAGTGCTCTAATGCATCCTTCTGTAAACATATGCTTGAATTTCCTTTAGAATCCAATTATACATAACTTTTCTTTGTTTTGATATCAGCATTGTAGCCCTGCTCTCTAAATATCAACATCAGCAATTGAAAAACCGGTCGACAACTAAGATGCATAAAGAAGACTCTGTGTTCTGAGCTTTGATAAAAGCTATAAGCCACTTCTTACGGTCCATGTTTTATGATGGCTAATGCAGTTTATAGGAGCATCATAACCTGGATTGATTTTATTTTGGTTGTTATCCTGGGAAACTGATCTAATGCTGCTTCTGGTGTCTCTAAAAATCTACACATTAAAACATTAAATCTCTGTCTCTGCTTTTAACAGGGGTTTTTCCTTGCCCCCGTCGCCAAAGTGCTTGCTCATGGTGGAACCGTTGGGTCTCGTAAATGTTATAGAGGAGTTCGGGCTAGACCTGCTCTAATTTGAAGTGTCCTGAGATAACTTCTGTTATGAATTGGCGCTAGACAAATAAAATTGAATTGAATTGAATTGAATTGAATATTATGTTTCTGTGTCACAACCAAATGCTTTTAGGTAAATTGTATATTTGTGTTAGCAGACAACATGACTGTATTTTGTTAATTTAATTATACACATTATCACATCCCTAACTTAACAAAAAATGAAATGCAAACAGCATTTTCTATACATTTCTATATGTTTATGTATATTTACATATATGTATTTTGCTTTAAGAGAGAACTGTGTTCATCATTTTAATTGTATATGAAGGGGTAGTTTAAATTGATATAATAGAACAAATAATCATTATTTAAAAAATGATAATTATAATCATATTTTAGACAACATGTCAGAGGGAGGGGATGGAGGGCCGGAAATGGCCCCTGGTCCAGTGGTTTGAGATCACTGCGTTAATCCATCTTGCACAAACTACAACAGTGTCTCACTTGCTCATTGTACTGATGTACTAACTCTAATTTACACATGAATCCCCAAGAAAACAATCCCTACACATCTTGCTGCAGAGTCTCTTTCTTTCTTCAGGAAAGTCTAATTTACCATTAGATGTAGAAAATTACCAAGCTAAATACTAAATATTACCATTTTCCGACCAAGAATATTAGTATCTATGTATATGTATTTTCCTTTAGATACTAAAGTCAGTGTGTGATATGAGTGTCAAGTGCCTATTCCACCTGCCTCCAGAGGCTCCAGTGCACACTAATCCACTCAGCTGCACTGTAGTTCGAGCTATGAGAGCATTCTTTAATAGGGTGACCTAGTTAGCGTATGCTGCTAACAAGACTACAGTAATACGACGTGTTCAACCTGCAGCATACTGCCAGACGCCTCTGTATGATCCCAATCCTACCTCACAAGCACTCCTTTAAACTCCCATTTGACTACTGCTGACCCCCTGTGTCTGTCCACAGGCCCTGGGGAGGAAATGGGAGCCAAGGCGTCATTGGTGGAGGGTCCAGTGCCGGGCTCTGCACTGGTTCCTTCTCCCACTCTGGAGAACATCCAGGCAGCTTATGAAGGCGGAGAGGAGGAGGTTGCCAGGGAGTTGATCCAACAAGCCTGCTGCGTGGAGTGCAGCGCCAGGGTGCCCCGCATCGATGGGGTGAGTACACCCAATATATACATGAAAATCCTATTGTCAACTGCACAGATAGTTGGGTTATGGTCATCACTGTAACATTATGTGGTATGCAGGGTGGACACAGGGTTACAGTGATAGGCTTACTTGGCTTCTATGGGAAAAACGTTTATACTTTGATTATATACTGTACATAGTCAGTCATTGTGGTACAGTACACCACAAGAAATGAAAGATCTGTGAATCTCATATGACTATGACTATGTATGTACACTATCAGGTAATGAATGTTAGTTCAACCAGACCACGGAGTCGAACTCTACCCACAATGCCAGCTAAATCAGCTGGTAGCAGCTGATCTCAAAGCCAGTCACAAATCAGCTGACAGCTCAGCTGTTTCCCTTCTATGCATCCAATTGGCAAGTCTCATACAGGGCGCCTTATTTAAGCTCCTTTACCCTGCTTACCCTTGCTGCTTCCTCAGCAAGCTGCCTCTACCCCAGCTCCAAATATAACTTACTGCAGATAGAAGTTTTCTTTGACTAAAGTGGTCCTGACTGACTTAAATTGTAGTGACATTCAACATTGGCAATCGATAACTTAAAGTCCATGATCAAAATGTAAACCAAAGTCAAAATTAAATGTATAAGATTGGAACCTACACTCACTTGGTAACAGGTTTTAGCTTAAGCTTGGTGGCATTGGAGATGTAAAGCAGTGGTTCCCAACCCGGTTCGAGACCCACCCTAAGGGTCGCCAAAGATTCATAGGGGGTTGTGAGGTCTGCTTGATTTTAAGGGGTGTAAGAAGACATTAAAATGTGAAGAAAACAAAATGAAATTGTAAATTGAAAAGTTTCAATTATAATTTAAAAACCTGAACACAGGCTATTTTCAAAGCGCTTTTACTTACTGCTAAACAGCCTCATCCTGCATTAAAACCAAGTATCAGGGAGAATAAAACACTGGATTTGTCAAAAAATAAGCCTATTAAATATGTATTATTGATAGAAATAAAAACATAATACAGACAGAGAATTGTCTAAAGAGAATTTAAAAATATCTAATGCAGTGTTCACAGGAAATAATCTAAATTAATCTGCTCAAAATTAATCCAAATCTTACGCCAACTTCCTGCAGTTCTGTGTTCACTGTTTGGGTTCATTGTACAGTGTATCAGTTGTTCTCTACTGTTATTGTTGGAACCACTGATGTAAACCAGTACAGTAGTTCTCAAACTGGGTTTTTTTGTCACATTTCAGGGATCTCCAGATAATCAACAATATAGAAAAGTAGAGTTTTTTCCACATTATTCCACCCCAAAGTCAGAACCACTCTCACGTCAAAGCATGCATATAGGTTGCAGTTACCCTTTTGAATTATTTGGCCATGAACATGCAGATATACAGTGATTTTCTGACACATATTTTCTGTTGTTGTGTTTTTTCATACTTACTGTCCAGTTTGTCTTATAGCTGGAAGACATGTTTATTCTGGAGACATCATGTCTGACTGGATATAGTAACTACAGTTCTGAGTACAGTACACACCGTGCTCTAACAGACTTTGATGGTCTACACCAATGAGGCCAATTTGTACAATGTAAAGGTGACATCAACACACTCTATGTGGGCTTGTGGTGAGGCTTTTTATTCGTACTCTGTCGAGTAAAAGCGTAATCCCTGATTTGTGCACGTGCTGTTTCTATCAGCATCGTGTCCTCTTCACCCCCACACTGCGATGGGCTGATTTGGTACATTTCATACTAAGTATAGAACACTGACAAAACCTTGATATGAAGCTATTAGTATTACACTAAAATGAAATGTGTAAACCTTTCAGGGAAGAAATATATGAGATCTAGCTCTATGTTGAGATTACGTGATGAAAATTTGTGTATCCAAACTGCCTCCCACTTTAAAAAGGAATAAATCCATATTCCAGTATACTCTTTCAGAGACAGTGTGGTTATGCTATGGATAAAGCTAGCTAGCGTTAGCATTCTGAAATCCCAATTTTTCAGTTTTTGTCTTGTTACCCATGTGTATAGTAAGCCATTGGGCCATTTCCTATGTCAATAACTTAACCAATGCCACAAGTAATATGTACTTTTACACTAAAACACCATTCTGACTGAGGATTTCTGAAGTCCTATATACAAGAAATATTACCATTTGCACATAAATAAACAGGCGACTGTGGAGAAACTCTCAAATGAGGCTAAAATGTCTGATGCTTTTCCTGTAAAAGAGAGGAGGCATTGCATTCACTATTTGGTATGAACAAAGCCTTTGTTTCATTAGAGCCAAAATGTGCCAGTGTTTCAGTATACCAGAGATAAAAACTAGAAGTGAACACGCAGGAATCTGGTTCGACTACAGCAGTTGCTGGCCGGTGCTTTTCAAACAAACAGTACCGGGAACTAAACTCTAGAATATAATCAGAAACAAAAGTACATTTTTTGTTCATTAAGACCAAGTTCCTGTGGTCAAAAAGGGTTGTACAGTATGTTTCAAAAGTATGTAACAATGACAGAAAGGGCCTGGTGTTAATAGTATAAGACACAGTTTAAGTAGATTCATCCAGATGGGGGTTGGGGGGTTAGGGCTTGCTTAATTGCTGATCTTTCTTGATTGGTAAGCTCTGTGGTGAACCACAATGAAGTCAAGCTCAAAGAGAGGAGTAACCAGCCTAGTCAGTGCCAGTTGCTACAAAACCCTTGAGGCAGGGGTAAGCAACTGATGGCCCATGGGCTACATCCGGCCCGCCAAAGCTTCCCATCCAGCCCACAGAGTGGCTGCTGATTTTAGTAATTTAATTTTGTTATCTTCACAGTATTACAATCTGGGTATCTGTGGCGAAATACATTGAGTAAGGCAGTATTAAGTTGCTCCTAATGCAAAAAAAATGCATTAAAGGTCCAGTGTGTAAGATTTATTGGCATCTACTGAACACCACTTGTGTCTGTATCTGATGACCTGGGGATGAGAATGGGTTGTGAAGACAACCTAACCTAACCCTAACTCATGGCATCTTTAGATAAAAATGGCTCCTTTTAAGGTAACAAAAACATAATTATTGTTATTTTCAGGTGATTATACACTAATGAATAGGCTGGTCACAGGAAATGCAGTGTGTCTGTGAGCTTGATGCTGGCTGCCATTCATTTAAAATGTGTCTACAAAACAGCATTTTCTAGTCAAGTGTCTGTCTGTATTATTATGGATTAACCATTTTCAGACTCTTCACACTGATCTAGGCTGATTAAAAATAGCATTCCTTTAGTAAAAAATATAAATATTAAACAGTAATAGGCTAATTTGGCCTAAATAGATGTTTTTAATTAAATAAAAAACAAGGTGAAGGTGAATACCCCTGTCCTGAGGGGACATGGATAGAAAAAAATACATTTGCTTTCCCCTTAGAAACCTTTGACCCTTGGGTTTTGACTAGAAGTCCTTTTTTCCACTCTCGGGAGAACGCAAAGGTTTCTCATGTATTTCTTTCTCCCTCATAGGACTCTGTAATTTGCTGATCCAAGTCTAATAAAATGATATATTAATTTTGCAGGGGAACAATGTACATCATGTTCTTTTGCAAAAAAAAAAAAAGGTTTTGTGTCGACACAAACCTGGTGAGGTGACTGTGTTTAAGGTTGGATCATTGCGGGGTTTTTTTCTGTTAACACAGACTACATCTTTTTTGTATTTGAATTAAAATACTTTTTCCTGATCCTGTCATTCACCTTGATCTGATTGCTTTTGTTGTTGTGGTGACTTCAGTCTGTACTGATGACAGGGGATTGTCCACTCTCACTTACTTGCTCTTATCCTGTGTCACAGCTGCATTATTTAGTGGCAGAGCTGATGAGAGTGGTGCAGTGCTCTGTGTTTGTTGTGGTGGCATGAAGAGCACGTGGGCGTGCTGCTCTTGTTTTTATTTGTGAATGCATCCTTCTCAGGCATCAGCAGAGATCTGGCCTACTTCTGCCTGTGCCAGTGTACATTAACAGATTGGGCTGATTACAAAACTCCAGGAGAGCAGGAGATGTAAAGATAAACACATCAGATATACAAGAGCATCTACAGTTCATTCCATCTCATCTACAAAGACACCGACATTGAATGCCTGCAGGAAAAAACATGCAGCTTTGTCAAAAACAGTTAGTCAGTTCATGCCTCTACTGTCCCTGGCTGAACCCGCTGTGTCAGAGTCCTGGTCGGAGCTGGCTGTACATCAGATGGCCTCCATTTGTCTGCCCCACTCCGGTTCTGTCGGCCATTCCTGGCCATGTTCCTTTGCAGTGTTCCCTGCTAGGTGCCCCGCTCCTACTCTAGTAGTGTTTAAACTCCCCCTGTCCTTCCAGCTCCCAGTCCAGGTACAGTCAGCTAATAGGACCACTATGTAGCTAGTGACAGCAGCTAGTGCTGTTAGCATATGCAACAGCGCACCAGTAAGTGACTCCCTGTGTTACAAGAGAAAAGGTTTGTGTTGCACAATCCTCTCATACTTTAGTCCTGGTGACAAGGTGCAGCTCCCGAATGGAGTTTGACATTGTTTTTGTTTTCAGCAACTATCCAACTAATGAAAAGTGTGTCAACTAAGACTCTTCTCATTGACTAATGGGTCGACTATTACAGGGCCGCGCTAAAAAAAAAAAGTTTTTTTACTGAGATTTTATTGTCATGGTGATGTATCCCTTCATACTAGGACAGTTTTCCAAAAATGTTTTGCAATAAAGCAACATATTGCCTTGATTACAGTATTGCAGTATATTGAATCTGTATCGTGTGTATTGTCAGATTCTTACCAATACACAGCCCTAAAGGCCTCCGCACACCAAC